AGACCTACCGAATAAGCACACACCAGAGTTCCCTGTATGTGTTAGAACCTAGGGATTTGTGTTTTCTCTGACTGTGAACACAAACGTGGCCGTGCACGCGCACACACAGTTTACTAATTTAACTATTCTCTGTGTACAATTCAGTAGGATTCACAACGTATTTACTGTTGTAGAAACACCACTCCTTCCCATCTGCAGATTTTTTTTCACCCTTACAAACTGTAGTTCTTGCCTTTTAATTATTTTCACAGTTCTTCTAGATACAGCCCCTGAGTCTACTGTTGGAAGAAATGTGCAGGTAGTTAAAAAAAAAATAGGACACGATATTTGGACATTCCAATGTCTCCAGAAAATGCCTTCTTTTTTAAGCACTCACTATTTTTCTGTTTTGCAAATGTTTATGTCTACATACATGCCCTTGCCGTGTGTGCAGTTGCCTACAGAGGCCAGAAGAGGGCATTGGACCCCTGGGAGCTGGAGTTTATAGCCAATTGTGAGCCATCAGATGTGGGTGGTGGAACTGAACTCAGGTCCTCTGCAAGAACAGCAAGCACTCTTAACTACTGAGCCATCTCACCACCCCATATCAGTTTTTTCAGTGGCATAGAGCACTGGTGAGAATTGTTTTATGTGTCCTTGACTTGCCACAGGCTTGGCTTGGTTGTTATTCTTCAGTGATGACGAAGTCAAGCTCCCATGCATGCCAGGATGGGCTACCATTGAGCGCCACCCCCACCTAACAGGACGGAAGTGTGCAGAATCTGGCCTGCTCACTGTCTCCCACCTTCCTGAGAGCGTGCACTTGGTCCACGTGGAGCCTTCTCATTCCAAGGATGCGCCTCTTCCATGACATCTCAGACGTGTATGGTGCAACCAGACTTCATTCAGTGGTTCAGAGAGCCCAGTTGGTACACTTTCAGAATGGGAGAGAAGGATTCCAAATTTGCAGTTGGTAGATGGGCTCTATGAGCAAAGGTCTACAGGAAGTCTGATGGCTGGTTCAGTTTACCAAATCCTACCCCACAGCTAGGATTCTCGATAACAGCTTAATGTCAGACAATGTGGTGATTTTGGAAACACCAGAGTGGAGGAAGAGTTCATGACCCCGTAACTTTTACTGTAAAAGTGCTAAAATACTTGCAGGTATTACCAAGGCAATTTTCTTAAATAATAGAGAAACCATTAAGAGGAAATGTGTGCACATCTGCTGGTGTTTCACGGCTCGTACAGAGAAACATACTGTACCCAATCGCCTTGATTGTATTCTTTTAAGTGAAAAACACCTTTGCTGAAGACTTCATTTTTAACCAAACTCACAGGAGGAAAGCTTTTGTGGGCCCAAGCTGCCCCCCACACTTTCCTACCAGCTAGAACAGTGTTTGCTATCAGGCAATCTTTCCATTAAATTAATGGCTACTTCTTTGGATTAGATACTCACCTTCCATTTGGCAGTGAGAGCCATTTCCTGTCACTCATTTGAAAACTACTCACGGTAAGGGAGGAAGTTTCTTTGATGGCCTTTCCTGTCCTTCCTGGCCATTCTTTTTATATAAGATTCACACAGTCTACTTGTGTTCTTCCATATTGACTCATGTGTCTTCTCTTTGCCCTTCAACCCGATCCTCTTTCAAAAATGTCGCCCTGGTCCCTCCCCATCTATGCTACCCTGAGCCCACTCTGCCCATGCCCTGGCCCCAGGCCACCCATACCAACTCATCCCCTCCCCTCTGCTACACTGCTTATACTCGTTCCCCTGAGCCACACATGTCTGCTATGTTCAACCTTCATTCCCCACGCTGCTCGCCAGGCCTTTTCTCTGTATCCCTTTATCATCACAAACAATACCCAATTTATTTCTCCTAAGGCTCTCCCGGCAATTTAAAATCCACACCGATTGCTTTCTTCTCTGAGTTCATATGGAATATAAATTACCACTATGGTTTTGCTAAGTGCACATTAAGCACCAGGTTCAGTATATTTTTTAAATTTTATTGTCATCATTATTATCTTATGTGTATGGGTGTTTTACCTGTGGATAAGTCTGTGTACCGCATTCATGCCTCATGCCTGCAGAGACCAGAATGTGTTGCCTGATCCTCCTGGAATGAGTCACAGAGGGTTAGGAGCTACCACGTGGGTGCTGAAATTTGAACCCAGGTCCTCTGGAAGAGCAGCCAATGCTTTTAACCACTGAGCCACCTCTCCTGTTCCCAAGCCCATTATTTCTACCCTGTAATAACTAAATAAGATCAATTTGTTCTTGAAAATAAATCAGAGATGGTATAATTTATTTCAATGACTCTATTTACATATGTTAATTATATATAATAATGGGTTTCATTATGACATTTTATTCATATACATAATGTGCTTTGATTATATTCATTTTCTATTACTCTCTTTTGCAAAGCTCCTTTCCCCCTTTCTTCCTTCCTTCCTTTCTTTTTTTGAGGCAGAGTTTCTCTGTGTAGCTCTGGCTGTCCTGGAATTCACTCTGTAGACCAGGCTGGCCTCAAACTCAGAGATCTGCCTGCTTCTGCCTCTTGAGTGCTGCCCAACTCGAAACACAATTTTTAATTGGGCAAACAATTTTTTTCTTTTTGAGATTGTGTTTAATTATAACATTTCTTCTTTCTTTCCTTCCATCTCCACTCTCCTTCAAATTTGTGGCCTTTTTTCGTTGTTATATATGTATTTTTATCCACATATATATTCTCAAATATAACCTGCTGAGTTCATATAATGTCACTTGTATGTATGTTTTTCAGGGCTGACCATTTGGCACTGGGCAACCAATTGGTGCGCTCGCTAGTGAGGACCTCTCTCCTGCTCTCAGATTTACTCAGCTGCCTAGAGTCCTTTGTATAGGGCTGAGGCCTGGCAGCTTTCCCCTGTCATGTCTGGCCTGTCCGTTGCTGTCATCCTCCTTGTTCGGCTCATGCTTGGGAGGCTGTATTGGTGAGACTTTATGAGCTGCTGGACAAACAATTCAAACAGATATGCTGCCAAAGGAAAATTTACATACACGAAAAGGTGCTCAAGTTCACGATTCATCAGATAAATAGTGAAAACTACAAAGCATTCTCATTACAAGTTCACGGAACTTGTAAAATTAAAAGGGTCCATAGAGTACTAAGAACTGGTTAAGTTCTCTTTTTTTTATGGCAGGAGAGAAAACTTCCTTGGCTTTCCTCTTTCTTTTACTTTGTATTTATTTTGTGTAGGGGAGCACTGGGCATGGGTGGGTGGATTAGGCACAGCACCTACTTAGAGGTCAGAGGACAACTTTCAGGATGCTCCTCTTCACTGTGTAGGTTCCAGGGAGTGGACTCAGGTCCTTGGGCTTGGCAGCAAGCGTCTTGACCAGCTCCCCATTATCCCCTTCCTCTCTCTTATTTCCTGCTCACTTCTTCTGAGTCCCTTCCTCTCTCCCACACGCCTTCCTTTCACTTTCAGATCTGTGTATATGTGTCATGTAAATGAGCGTGTGTATGCACATTCATGTGTGCCTCCACAGAGGAGGGGGACATCAGGTCCTGCTCTGACTCTGTCTACCTTATTCCATTGAGACATGGTTTCTTACTGAATATGGAGCTAGGTTGGCAGCCAGCAAGCTCCATTGATTCTCCTGTTTCTGCTCCTCACAGTGCTTGCGTTATAAGTGTGTGCAGCCATGCCGGGCTCGTTACACGGCTGCTGGAGCTTTAAAATCTGCTCTTCATTCCTGCACAGTAAACGTGCTTACCAGCTGAGTCATATACCCAGTTCCTCAAGTCTTTTCTTTTCTTTTTAATTACGCAATGAGTTTCATCAGGGTTGCTTCCAGGAACATGGGCTCCTTACCTGTGGCTATTCCACCAAAAAAAAAAAAAAGTTTCTTTCTCCCCCATCAACCGTTAACAGGATATAAAACCCAGTGAGGGTTGAGTCCATGAGCCTCTCCTTGCTCTACTGCAGGATGTTGTTGGGCCCACGCTCATGCAGATGGAGTGCAAGTCAGCACAGCTGATGTGAGTGTAAGAGTGTGACATTCATGCCCTGCCTGAAGTCAGCATTCCACCCCTCCTCCAGCTCTGACCTTCTTCCTGCCCCTCATTTGATAGTCTCAACACCTTGGAAGGGATAGAGATCCACCTGCCTCTGCTCCCAGATGCCGGGATTAAAGGTATGTGCCACCACTGCCGGCTAGAGCCTTTTCTTGATTAATGGTTGGTACCGGAGGGTTCAGCCCACTGTGGGTGTTGTCAACCCTGGTCAGGTGGTCCTCGGTTGTATAAGAAAGCAGGCTGAGCAATCCATGGGGAGCAAGCCAGTGAGCAGCACTCTTCCACGGCTTCTGCTCCAGTTCTGACTCCAGGTTCTGCCTTGAGTTCCCGCCTTGGCTTTCCCGTATGATGGACTGTGATCACGACATGTAAGCCGAAATAACCCTTTCCTCCCCAAGTTGCTTTTGGTCATGGTGTTTCTCACAGCAGGAGAAACCTAGGACAGACTGATAATGTCGACTTTTAAGATAGCATTACCAACAGACAGTGGTGGTGCACGCTTTTAATCCCAGTACTCGGGAGGCAGAGACAGGCGGATCTCTGTGAGTTCGAGGTCAGCTTGGTCTACAAGAGCTAGTTCCACGACGGGCACCAGAGCTACAGTGAAACCCTGTCTGGGAAAAAAAAATAAAAACAAAGATAACATTACCACCCTACCTCTGAGAGTTCTTTCTTCTACTATTCCCAGGGAAGTGGTCTTATTTTCACATTTTGCAGCTACCGTATTTGTGTTTCAGGCAAGGTGGAGCAGAGGAATAAGGAGAAAATGTAGGCCTTCCCACCGAATTTGAAAGACCCTTTCCAGAAGCCTCATTCTACACTGTCCGTGCATTTCTTATTTGTCAGGCACTAGTTTACTAAAGAGTATGCTAACTCACCCCAATCTTAAGGTATTTTGTTTCTAAGAAGCAATGGCCACCGACACCCATCTTCAGACTTTTATTTTTTCCACAGCACTCCTGGGTCCTCTGGAATCCTGGTGGACAGCAAGGTAGAGCGATAGAGAATAAGAAAATGAGATTTTGAACATTCATAATGAAGACATCAAAGAGATGGTGGTTTCTAATTTACAGGCACTTTCCCTGTAGAAGACCAGACCTTGGCTGACTTCTCCCTGCATCGCCTAGCACAAGGGCTTCATCACCGACTGCTCATAACGTCAACATGGGCATTAGGCAAGTGAGGCCAGACCATTGAAAATTATTTTAAGTCCATTTATTGTGCTTCCTTCTCTCTTTTGTTCTTTGCATACATTTTGTTTCCATTTGTGAAATTGGTATCATAAAAATGTTCTGTTTTGCAAGAGAGTTCATGGTAAACAGCTCCTTCTGGCAGCACGACCCAGCTCTTAGAGCAGAGTGCTTACATTTCCATCAGAAAGGACTGCTTTGCTGGACCGCTCCTGATTTCATTTTGATTTGAAAAAAGTAATTCAAAAGCCTGAAGGAAAAAAAAAATCCTTTGATAATTACCGAAAATGTGTCCCCAACCCCAAGAGTCACACCAAGAGAGGGCCTTTGAGACTAAGCGCACATTCTTAGAACTTCCCTTTGTACCCAGATTCCATGTCTCTGCGCCCCTTGTCTGGGATTGCTTTGGTTCATTTTTTATCATTCCTTTTCTCTCCTGTGTTTTTCTTTTTTAATTTTTTAAAATATTTATTTATTTATTATGGATACAATATTCTGTTTGCATATATGCCTGCAGGCTAGAAGAGGACACCAGGCCTCATTACAGATGGTTGTGAGCCACCATGTGGTTGCTGGGAATTGAACTCGGGTCCTTTGGAAGAGCATGCAATGCTCTTAACCGCTGAGCCATCTCTCCAGCCCATTTTTAAAATTTTTTGATACTATTGGAGACCACATGTATTAGGGACCCCTTAAACATTTCAGAATATTTACTGAGAGGACAGTCTCTTATATAGCCAGAGAGAAAAGGACTACAATGAGAAATTACAGACTGAAAAGTCATGCTACCTGATATCCCTACCTAACTGGTCCATATACACAGTGCATTGATTTCTCCAGTAATGTCCTCTTAGCATTCTATTTTACCAGGGGGAAATCCACGTTCAGAGCAGGCGTTGCCCTTTGTAGTTGTCTCTTTAATCTGGAACAGTCCTGGGCCCTTGATAGACTTTCTCCAAATTTAGCATCCTTTAAGAAGATAGCGGGGTGGTGGGGAGAAGAAAAAGGCAGCAAAGTCATTTTTTTAAAATATTTATTTATTTATTATGTATACAATATTCTGTCTGTGTGTATGTCTGCAGGCCGGAAGAGAGCACCAGACCTCATTACAGATGGTCGTGAGCCACCATGTGGTTGCTGGGAACTGAACTCAGAACCTTTGGAAGAGCGGGCAATGCTCTTAACCACTGAGCCATCTCTCCAGCTCCCAGCAAAGTCATTTTTGAGAATGTTCTCTGGTTTAGTTTTTGCAGTTCACCTGATAGTTAAATAATATTTGGGTTGTCGTTTATTTATTTATTTTATAAGAAATGGGATCTGGGCAGCTGTGGAGATGGCTCAGTGAGTAAAGTGCCAGCCAGTCTAGCTAATTGGTGAGCTTCAGGCGAAGTGAGAAACCCTGCTTAGAAAAATAAGGTGGAGAGCAATAGAGGAAGACCCTGCACTTCAACATCTAGCCTTCACATACACACACACACACGCATGGGTAAATACGACTGCACAAGCGTGCACTCGACACGTGTGTGCGTGCACACACACACCCCAAATGCCAAACAGCGACTTGCTGTCCCCTAGCCCTGGACTCATAAACAGTCCTCCCGCTTCAACCATTCAGGTAATTAGGACTTCAAGTGTGGGCCACTGTGACAACCAGATTGATTGTTCGTTTCTGGAAGAAATACAACAGCCATTGTTGCAGTCCAGTGTTTCTTGGTAGAACATGTGAAGCTGGTGCAACTGTGAGTCCCAGGTAGGAGGTATCTAAGATTTCTCCACTATGAAGTTGCTGGGGTTCCTTTTGTAATGGAAAAAAATAGTTGATAGACAGATTTTTTTTTACGTTTTTTTTTTAAACTTAGCACATAGTAATTAAGTAGAAGAGTAGAATTGTGCCGCGCTATAGCACTGCATGTATAGAATGCACTTACTTGTAGAATTGTGCCTTGCTATAGCCCTGTGTGTATATAATGCACTTACTTGTAGAATTGTGCCTCGTTATAGCACTGCATGTATAGAATGCACTTTCTTATAGAATTGTGCCTTGCTATAGCACTGCATGTATATAATGTACTTACTTATAGAATTGTGTCTCGCTATAGCATTGTGTGTATATAATGTACTTACTTGTAGAATTGTGTCTCGCTATAGCTTTACATGTATGTAATGTACTTTGACCATATAACCTTCGCCCCTCCCCCTCTCACTGACCCCCCCCTTTCTCTTCCCAACTGTTGGAACACATTGCTAGGCAGATGTTTGAGATCTTGTAAACACTAGCACTCCTCCACCAACTGCGACATTCACAATGAGCTTACAATTCTGTCCTCCCTTTTGTCTATCAGTTGGTGTGCTACCACAGGGACTCTTTCAGAGAGGTCTCCAATGTCGTGTAGCTCCAAGTCAACAAGGACTCTGTCTCAGGCTGCAGCAGTCACTTTAACAAAAGCACCACCAGCTCCAGCTTAAACAATGAATGTTTCCTTCTCACAGCTGTGAGGCTGAGAATCCCAAAATCAAGGTCCTGGCAGGTTCAGTGGCTGATGGCTCTTCTGCTTAGATGGCCACTTTCTTGCTGTGTCTTGCATATATATTGGAGAGAGAGAACTGGTGTCTCCCCTTCTCTGTGTAAGGACATGGATCCCATCATGGACCATGACCTTGTTTAAACCTGACCACCACCTCTCACAGCTCCACCTAAGATGATCACTTTGGGATTTATACCTTCACTTTATGGATGTCAGCGGGAGGCAAACAAGCATTTCATAACAGACGTGTGTGTGTGTGTGTGTGTGTGCCAGAGGTTGATGCCAGATACATTTCTCAATAGCTCTCCATCTTATTTTTGAGACAAGGTTTCTCTCTGGAACTAGGATTGATTCAGCTGGTTTATATAGACAGTGAGCTCCAGAGAGTCACCTGACTCTGCTTCCTTGACACTGGTACCATGGACAAAGACGCTCTGTCCAGCTTTTTACTGCAGGTGCAGGGATCTGAATGCAGGTTCTCATGCTGGCATGAACTGGTGGAGCCATCTCCTTAGCCCCGGTAACATACCCCCTGGAAGGAGAAAAATAAATACTCTTCATCATAAAAAGATGTCATCTTCCTTAGATCGGATAACTATGATAGTGAACTTTACATTTATGCATTGCAATAGTAATTTCTCACTTCACCCTGTGTAAGTGACTTTTATGTTGGGGGAGTTGGTTTTTGCAAGCCAGGATTTATCTGTGTAGCACTAGCTGTCCTGGAACTCCCTCTCTAGATTGGCCTTAAACACAGAGATCCACCTGCTTCTGCCTCCCGAGTGCTGGGATTAAAGGCTTGTGCCACCATGCCTGGTTCTGTAAAATGACTCTTAATGGCTGTCTCACTTATTCACAAATGGTGAGTGGATTTGACCACTCCCTCCTCATGTAGCATGGAAGTCACATTTTTATTTGTTGATATTGGTCAATTTTGGCAATGAATTCTATGCTTCATGCCACATCAAGTACCTTCGGGCCTATCTCCTTGCCATAAAACAGGGATAATCACTTGCTGTGAAGTGGTATTGGGGGAGGATTATGTATGTGAAAACCTGGGTAGGTGAAAGTAGTCAGCAATATGATTTTCATCTCTAACTTAGAATTCTGATTTTGAGATACACAAATTCACTGGTCCCTCTGGGGACGGAATGACTTTAGACACAAAGTTCTGGAAAGCAAAAGGGTTAGTGGAATCCGCTGACTTTTGTGTGATTTAAGTGACTACACCAGTTTCTTCCTCCTGCTTCCCTTTCTCCTTCTTGCTCACCTCCCTGCTCCCTCCCTTCTTTCCTCCTTTTTCCCATTGGAGACATATTTATTGGCATCTGCTCTCTGCTAGTCACTCTCCTAGGCTGTAGAGGTAGAGGAGCAGACAAATCCATCTGAAGTTAATTCTAATCAAAGGAGACACTTAATAAACTTAGAACCACACTCTTAAAAACAGATAGGATAAAGAAAGGTAACTTCGGGAGGGGGATGAGGATTGTGAGCTGAGACATAAATAAGGAATCGAGTTCATTGGGAGGGTATGATTTTAGTTTTGTCAGGTGGCCACAATCAGGAGTTACTTGGGAAGAGTCCCAGTAAGGGACTATATAGGTCAGGTTGGCCTGGGGGTGTGTCTGTGGGGGGGTGTCTTTATTATGTTAATTGGGAAGACCCAACCCACTGTGGGTGGCCCCATTCCCTGGCTTTAGGTCCAGAACTATGTGAGAGTAGAGAAAGTGAGCTGAGCAGCAAGCATGCATGCATTCATTTCTCTCCAATATTGACTGTGGTTGTGATGTGACTAGCTAGCTCTTCCTGCCATCTAAACTTCCCAGCTATGATAGACTGTAACCTAAGAACCCTGCACTAAAATAAAACTTTTGTCTCCTAAGTTGCTTTTTGCCAACATTAAATATATATATATATATATATATATATATATATATATAATTACAGCAAGTTTGAATGAAACTAGGACAAGAGTCTGATGGAAAAAAAAATCCCAGGCAGAAGAACCATTTTGGAAGATGAGGTCTAAGGCACAGAACTGAGCGTTCACACAAAGACACCCCGATGGAAGTGGCCAGACAATTCCTGTGGAGCACAGCAGCTTCCAGTCTCCCTCTGAGAGCTGCAGGACAGGCAAGAGCAGGCTTTTGGAGAGTTGTGGAGTTGTGCAGTGAACACCTCTTTTCAAGAAAACCTCCTGTTGGGCAAGGTGGTTTGCACCTCTAATATGTAGCACTTGGGAGACTGAGGCAGGAGGATCATGAGTTTAAGTCCAACGTGGGTTACATAATGGGTTTACCAACCTGGGTTATAGAATTGTCTCAAAATAAAAGAAACAAACAAACCAAAGTTCCTGTTACGTAGGGTGCAGAGAGCCTGACAAACCTGCTTTTGGATCTACCTAGCCTCTGGGGTGCAACACTTTTCCCCAAGCACCCTCACACAGTGACTGAGAATGATGCAGCACTATTGTCCAGCATGGTGAACACCACTCTCTAGATGAGACTCCTTTCTTAATGAAACTACTTGGTGAAGATGTAATCCATCTCAAAAACAGCCACTCTAGAAACCTGTTAGCCAGATCACAACCCTGAGAATTTCTCACGGTGAAAATCTTTGTGAGGGCTCTTTGCTAGGCTTTCTCAGAGTTTTTATTGATGTTCCACAGCCTGAAGTTTTACCAACCTCCCTCCTATCAGCCTTTCTTCTTTTCCTCCCATGATCACAGACCTCCATTATGTCCCTGAGAATTCTCTTAGTCTTGTTGCCCTGCTTATTTTGTTTTGAAAGGAAAAAAGGGGGAAATGCTGTGGGATAATGCTCTTGTACACTGTAAAGATTTTTCACTCTATTAGTTTAATAAAATTCTGATTGGCCAGTTGCCAGGCAGGAAGTATAGGCAGGACAATCAGACTAGGAAAATTCTGGAAAGAGGAAAGGCAGAGATGCAGTCACCAGCCAGATGCAGGATGAAAATGCCTCACTGAGAAAAGGTAGCAAGCCCCATGGCTAAACACAGATGAGAATTATGGGTTCATTTAAGTTGTAAGAGCTAGTTAATAATAAGCCTGAGCTAAGAGGCCAAACAGTTCATAACTTTTATAAGCATCTCTGTGTTTCTTTGGGATTGAACAGCTGTGGGACTGCTTATGCAAATCAAGTACAGGGCCATGGAGATGAGGAGAGGCCAATCCAGGTCCTGTCAAGGGATAATTAAAGCTTCCAGACAGTCCACATCTACCTGAGCCATCTCAGACAGCAGCAGCCTCAGCAGAAGGGACTTAATAGAGATGTAACCCATGTCAAAACACCCTTTAGAATCTCATTAGCCAGATTGCTGTCCTAAGAATTTCTCACAGTGAAATTCTGGGCTGTGGTGGCCCAGTTCCCATCCTTCACCACATTCTAAGGAATAAAGGACCTGTTATGTAGATATGGATCTAGTATCCTTGGTAATGGGCAGGGCTAGTACTCACTCCCGCCCCTGGAAGTCAGATCAGGGGAATAGCTCACTCCACTGACATTCTGAAGCCTCACTGATATGGTGACCTCAATCTTCTGCTCAGACTGTGGTTGAAGGACAGTCTCTGAGTCTGGCTCACTGCACCTTAATGATGCCCCAGTAGAAGCCAGTCTGGTAGCTGGGAAGCCCATGGTAGATATTTGCTGATTTTTGACATTCCAGCATGCATTTTCCTATTGGTAAACTTAATTTCTCCCTGGAAAATTTCCTACACCCCATTGATTTTTTTTTTTTATAGTTCAATCCTGACCTATAAATCCCACTCCTCTTGGGCACTGTAGGTGGAATTTCTATGTAAGTAGTCAGAACCAGTATTTGCCAGCAGTGCTGGCAGGGACAACTGTTCTCTCCTCTTTAGGCTGAACCTGAGAGAGAACGCAAAGTTGGAGTGGCTAGAGCTGTTTTAGCCCAGCCAAGAAAGGTGTATACTCAGCAAAAAACACAGCCAAGTGACGAGTAGGCCAAAAAACAGGTTCTGATGGCACGCACTTCCAGCTCTGAGAACTACTCCCAAGATCATTTGGTTCTATATGACACAGTCAAAATCCACGAGCACTTAAGAGAGTGTGGTGGAGGCGGCAGCGGTGACCACAGCGGGAGAAGCAGCACTACAGCCGCCTGCAGCCCCAACCTGGGAGGAAGATGCTAATTAAAGTGAAGACGCTGACTGGAAAGGAGATTGAGATCGACATTGAACCCACAGACAAGGTGGAGCGAATCAAGGAACGTGTGAAAGAGAAAGAGGGCATCCCCCCACAACAGCAGAGGCTCATCTACAGTGGCAAACAAATGAATGATGAGAAGACAGCAGCTGATTATAAGATCCTAGGTGGTTCAGTCCTCCACCTAGTGTTGGCTCTTAGAGGAGGAGGTGGTCTTGGGCAGTGATGAACCTCAGTTCCATTTTACCTCCTTGCCCTGTCGCTCATAATGAAGCATCACATATCCTCTCACGCTCTGGGACACCAGAACTTCTGCCCCCTCCCTTGGATGCCCAGTCTTGTGTGTCTACTGGTGGGAGAATGTGAGGACACCAGGGTGCAGTGCTCCTGGCCCAAATGACCATTACTGGCTGTTGGGTTTTAGTTTGCAGTCCTGTGTGCTTCCCTCTCTTATGGCTATAACCTTGGTTGTCAATAAAATATTTCCTGGCAAAAAAAAAAAAGAGAGGGTGGTGGATTTTTGTTGCTTCTTTTGACTGAAAGGGGCTAAGATGATTACAGCAGCCCTGCCCTGTTTAACTCAAAAGACCATCTAATAAAAGATGCGCAAAGAATCTGAATATTCATCCAAAGAAGATGGACAGATTGCCAATAAACTCTTGAGAGGTGTTCAACATGATCAAGCACTAGCAGAAATGCTAATCAGGAGCACAATGAATAGAACCTCACATTCTTTAGCGTGTGTTCAATTTAAGAAATTTGTTTAAACAAAATGTTGGGAAGAATGTGGAGACACTGCAAGCTTTGTCCATTGCTGGCGGAGATGGAAATGAGGAATGCAGCCTGGAAATTCTCTGGACAATGAAAGAGTTACCGCGTGACTCCTAGGTACATACCCAGGGGACAGGCAAGTGCATGCCCACAAAAAGGCTTGCATGAGAGCATGCATAAATTTACCCTACGGTAAGATGAAGTCATGTAATCCCAGCATTCAGTAGGCTGAAGCAGGAGGACAGCTACGTTAGGCTACTTAGCTACATAGTGAGTTTCAGGCTAGTCTGGGCTGGTGCGAGCATGTCTAAAAACATAACAAATAGAATGCTCCCAGCAGTTACATTTTTAATAGCTAAGGAAATATAAATGCCCCTCAGTAGCACAGATCAACACATTTTGTGTTTATAGAAAGAGTATTCACAATGAGAAAAGGAAAAACCACTGACAGGCAAAGTCATGGGTGACTAGATGGGTGCTGAGTAAAAGGAACCAGATATAATACATACGGCAGGACTTCACTTCTAAGCCCAACAGCAGGCAAACTTACCATGGAGAAGAAGTTAAAAAGCGGTTGTAAGTGATAACTGATGGAGGCATGTGGTTAGGAGTTTGACCAGAATGAGACAAGGGGGTGAAGGAACTTTCTAGAACTTTAATTGGCAGTTATATGGTTACGTACTATCATTAAAGCTCACTGGATCTTAACGATGGCTTATTTCACTTTTAAAATAGTGAACATTGAACTTTAAATGTTTATTGTGTTTTCATCTTAGATGAAAGCTAAGGTACCCACTTAATTTGTATGCTTTTGGTGTCAAATGTTCTCCTATCACAAAATATCTTTTCCTACCAACTTAATAAACTTGATAACCCCCTCCCCCCCCATAACGTGGGATTCCCCTCTGTATGCTGTGAATACCATTAATGAATAAAGCAACTGCTTTGGACCCATAGCTAGGGCAAACTTAGCTAGGCGGGAAAAACTAAACTGAATGCTGGGAGAAAGGAGGTGGAGTCAAAGTGAAGCCATGGAGCCCTGCCAGCGACAGATGCTGGATGGAACTTTACACAGTAAGCCACAGCCATATGCAATACACAGATTAATAGAGATGAGTTAGTTTAGGATATGAGTTAGCCAGCAATATGTTTACGCTACTGGCCAAACACTATTGCTAATAATATGGTTTCTGTGTGATTATGTCAGGGAAACAAACAAGCAATCTCATTACAACACCCCAGACTCATTTCTTCTTTGACATACAGCATTGAAAACCTAAAGAAAAAGCCGGGCGGTGGTGGCGCATGCCTTTAATCCCAGCACTCAGGAGGCAGAGGCAGGTGGATCTCTGTGAGTTCGAGGCCAGCCTGGTCTACAAGAGCTAGTTCCAGGACAGGAACCAAAAGCTACGGAGAAACCCTGTCTCGAAAATTTAAAAAAAAAAAAAAAACCTAAAGAAAGTGTTCAACTAATTTTCTTCCTTGACCACCCTACCAAAGCACTAAGATGTAAGGCTGGCTCTCTCCTTATCAAGATATTTTAACCAACTACTGAGGAGGTAGATAGGGCCATGCAAAGCTTCCAGCATTAAGGTTTAGTGGCAGCGTTCTTCGTCTAGTTGATCCTAGCTCAGGAGAGCTGGTAATACCTACAAGTTTAGAACTGTAAAGGATAATGAAAGAGACTAAAACGTGATTAATATATTCAGATGGTTAAGAAGGTTGGAGAGCTATTAGCCTTCACAAACTGGCTTCCCTTTAGCTGACTCATTCCCATTTCTTCAGCGCATTTTTTGCCTCATCCCATCTCCCCCTCGGCCTCATCCCTTGCCACTTAGTGAGCAGCTTAATGGGCTGTGGAAAAGCTGCGGTGATCCTGAAATGTAGAATCGCTTCCCAATGTCCTAGGACAGCTCCCAGAATCCCTCTGGTGCAGCAGGTCCGTTTTGATGGGGTGCTGTATATTGAAATGGGCCCTTAATTGCTCCCCTAATGTTGACTTCACTGTGACCAAAAGTAAAAGCCACAGTGAAAGCTCTTTGGGGGAGATGGACAGGAAATGTTACAAAAGGAAAATGGAATTATTTTTCAGTTCTAAGGAAATTTATTAGCAAATGCATTTCAGTGCTCTTAGCAGTCATCCTGCTGAGGAACTGTTTTGGAGAAGGCTTGGCTTTGGAAAATCACAGGACAGAAACAGCTCCCTTCGGTAGCTTGCCAGTTAGGCGGCAGGATGACAAATGTCTTATTATTCCCCACAGCGCCTTAGTATTTACAGGACATCTGGTACTCTGTGTTTCGCCTTCTCCTGAGTCATCTTTATCGCCAGCTAACATTATGTTACCGTGGTTTCCCAGGCCTGCTTGTTTCAGTGGTAAGGACTAGATGTCAGATTAAGACATGGCTGGATCAGTGATTGGTAAGGTGCCTGCTGCCAAGCCTAACGACCCAGGTTCAATCCCCAGAACTCACATGGAAAGCGCTAACTTCTTCAAGTTATCCATCCTCTGACCTTTTTGTGTACTCAGCAAACACACACACACAGAGGCACACACACAAACACCCATGTACAGATACACATACACACATGAGTGCACACACGTGCACACATACACTCACACACACACACACACAAAGCACAAACACACTCACACACACATAGTAAATAAGTACATGTAAAAGAAAGAGGCAGATGCCTGCCTCTAGTGTGTCTAATTGTTAGTGACTGAGTGTCTGGTCCCATGCGATGTACTAATGAGGCAAACTTGGGCAGGCATCTCAAATCTGTTTGCTTCTGGTATTCTCATCTAAAACTATGAAGCATGATTGACATCATTCCAAAGAAATGAAAGCTTCGCTTCCCCCCTGCTCCCCCCCTCAGGCCATATGACTCATTTAGAGAAGTTTTGACACATCCTTGCTAGTAGTTGATTAGCCTGCCGCTACATCTGGGAGCTGGGGCTGGGCGGGTATGTGTCAACCCCTTGGCCCTGTGACCTGGTCAGTGGACAAGAACAGCTGCTCAGTAAAGCCTGACGATTCATGTCCCAATCCCATACGCAGGGGAGTTCGGGTCTCTCTTAGCCTATTGGAGAAAAGTGAAGCAGAAATGCCTTCACGCTGTACAAGGATGGGGGTGGAATGCCACATCCAACTGAAATGTTGACAGAAGCGGGAAAGGGAGGAAGGCACAAAAGTGTCAGCTTGTCCTTGTGATGAGCTACAGAAGCAGGGCAGAGCTAGCCTGGTCCTGTGTGAGCCGGTCATCTTTTCCTCTATACCTCCTTCCTTTGTTTAGAGAGAAGCCATGCACGTGGCGACTGTTCTAGAATCAGGTAGGCCTGTTACCAACACCTCAGTACCCTATCTGTCTTCTGCACCCTGCTGCATTCTGTGTAGGTCCCCAAGAAGCCATATCAGTAGCAGCTCCGGCTGTCTAACTTCAGCTGGGCTTCAGCAACAGAAAACACATACAGCTGATCAGAGGATGGGAGAAAGGGGAGGAGGGGAAAAAAATCAAATTCGCTTGTCTTCTTTATCATGGGTTGGCTCCACCCTGCCACTCACTCGTCACCAAAGCTCTTAACCAGACTCTCCGTCCACCATGGCATGTTTCCTGGTTCTACTACTCACTTTTTCCCCTTGCCAATTCCTGCCTGTGGGTAGGAAGAGTAAGCCAGTTTACTGAAATTGGGCTATTATTTTACTGTTGCCTTTGAGTTTCTTATATCAGGCCCACACTTTCATAAATAGTTCCTATATTAAACGCTTCCCAAGTTGCCAAAGTTGTGTGAGTGATTTCTTTTCTCTTGGAGCCCTGACTAACACACAGGTTTCCAACAGGAACTGTGACCAGCAGTTGTCAAAGGACCTTGAAGGTCATTGCTATGGTTTTGAGACAGGGTCTCGCTGGGTAGACTTGGCTGTCTTAGAGGTCACCTGTGGACCAGGCTACCCTCGGGCGTGCTGTGCTCCTCTTGCCTCAGCCTCCGGAGCTCTGAGAACACAGATGCGAGTCACCACACCCAGTCCTATGCAAACTGTCAAATTAGTAATATCAAATGTGACTTTTAAAAAATGAGTGTCATGTTTCCCTGAAGAAGATAAATTATCAGAGGCCAAATAAGTTACAGGTAACACATACAGAAAAGCAACAAAATAATGTGTGCACAGTTTAAGGAATAATTATAAAACGCTGCCCCAAATATGCTGTGTTGTTCAGACACAGAATGCCGCCGATTGCTCAGAAGTGTCCCCTTATGTTCCCGTCTCTCCTTCACCCTCTCTGTAAAGTCTCCTTTACCTTGACTTTCATGGTAATGGTTGCTGCTCTGCGGTAGTCCCCGATGACTGTGTTTTATCCATGACTCGAGCATCTTTCAAGTCATGTGATACATTGCCTAATGCTTCAGTTCTTGCGGATTTCACTCTGGGCTGTTGTAGTAAACTTTGTGATTGTCACTGCTGCTCACACTTCCTCTGGAACAACAGTCAACTCATTATTTCTTCCACTGTTGGGGCGTATCTGGATGGCTTTTTAGCTTCAGGCTATTGGGAAAATGCCTCGGAGATGAGTCTTGTGCTTCCAGAGCACACAATGCTCAGAGTTCTCCAGGACAGAGCCCTCAAACATTTTGGTTCGAGACTACCTTAGTATGTGTGTGCATGTATGTGTTGTGTGTCTGTGTGTGTGATCTACATATGTGTGGAAGC